AGAGTTTACTAGTACTGCTACTCGATCCAACGATAACATTACAAATTCTTTGGAAGAAGATCTAAATGATGATGATGATCTTATCACCAGAATTCAGCGTACCCTTGCAACTTCTTCAAACCCGGCCAACACTACTGAAAATCCTAGCAACGAGAACCCGACCAATGTCGCAATCGAACTGCCTACTCTTATGAATTATAAGAGTCACGTCGAGGATTGGGCTCCGTCACGTGTATCAGAATACCAAGAAGGTAAGACCTTGGGAACCGCAGTGGCGAAAAACATCTTTGACGAAGCGAAAGCAATTCAAAAGCTCTACATACAACAAAAGGCCGTCCTTGCTTTGGTGGCCAATGTCAGTATTTTTACATTGGAGAAAGCACTGTGAGTCGGGTCATCTTTTGATTCTTATGTGAAGTCGATATCTTGAATTAAAACTGACAGTTGGATAATTCTCCTTAGTGGTGAGCTCGGCAGTACGCAAACTCCGGATTGTCTTCGACTTTGTTCTAGATATTCGATCAAGGCTCTTGGAACTAAAAGTAAGTTGAATTTGCAAGACTTTAGATTGACGTTTGACTGAGTGGTGTGATCTTTTCATGATTATGATAGTGCCACCGGGCAGCGAGAAAGGAGGCTTAGGAGAACGAAACCGTAAATTATCTGCTATGTGGAAAGGCCTTTCCAAGGAGGAGAAGCGTGTATGGGACCCTCCGATCTTCTACCTACTCTCACTACACCAAATCAAAAATTTACCATGGAGTTTAGAAAAGTAAAAATGAAGAAAATTCTGAGCAAGCTTAAGGCGTTGGAAAAAATTGGATGATTATGGTTGAATCCACTTGTGATGTCTCCTTCTTTTGCATATTTTTTCATATTTTTACCTTTAGTGTTGAAGATGTTTCAAAGAAAAATGATGTTGGGGTAAATTTGGTCAGAAACCCAAATTATGTCCAAAACTACTAAGGTTCGGGCAGAAATGTTTGAATATTCACAAAGACACTAATTTTTTTCCAATCAATTTGGTAGTCACAAATTATGAAAGCCACACCCAGGATCTACAATTTTCATTTAGATGCTAAAACCATTATGGCAAAGATTTATAAGCTTTTCTTTTGTTGCTGATGGGGACTGTGATTGCTGTACCTTAGTCATTTTTGGACACATACCGCCCATTCCAATGTGTACATTGGAAATCAAACATTCAGCATTCAGAATGCAAAGAAATTACATATGGTGAACCAAAATTGACAATTTTATTTGTCTCACAAGATTAATGACTAAATAAGTGCCAGTTTTGGACAAAAGCTGGGTTTCTGACCTGATATACACTGCTGCCATAAAAACATGAAAAATATGCAAAATGAAAGGCACGCACAGGGTTATGCAACCCTTGTTTTCTCATATTTTTCTGACCCCTTCTGCCGTGTGTATAATTTTCTATGTTCTCCTAATTTTCTAAACTCAGCGGTAAATTTGCAATCTGGTGTAGTGTCTCTGGTCTACCTCGCCCTCGTAAACCCAATGTCGATTCTGATGATGAAGGAAGTCAAGATATTGATTTGACCCCCGAAGAACGAGCGGATCTACAAAAGCTTTATGATGAAATGGTTTGTACCACAAAGGTATCTCAAGCTTACAATAAGGTTGCCTCTGGTATACCTAATGGGCCATCTCTCCCCAATTATAACCGTCGGTCTTTGAAATGTGTTAAGAAACTACATAATCAGGTGAGTGTGATTATATCTACAAAAGATGTTATAATATCATGTGCTGACAAACTGACATACATATATGTATCATTTTTAGATTGAAAACGAGTCTAATCACATGGACTTCGCATATTACTTTCTCGCAGCTACCACTCGCCCTGCTACACAAGCCGGCTCGGAGGGGACGGGATGGTGTGAAGAGTACACCTCTCACCCGGACCTGGCCGAGTATGTTCGTAAGGAGTGCAATTTCCCAACTGTGTTTGCTACACACACCCAGGGTCTTTCAGTTGAAAAGGCTGTTGCAAGCGCGATTGGCAAGAACAAGCAACCCGAGACTACTAAAAGCGTGTCCTCAGGTGATAAAGTCAAGGGAGACCTTGCGCTGTTATTGCGCTCTCAATTGGGTAAGTCAAGGGTTCCTATTTCCTGATTCCTTCTCTGATTAGCACTGACTAAATGTGATGTTCTTACAACAACTAGTATTAGGTATCGAAGCAAAAGGGTTTCCCCGCGGACCCGATCCTGCTCAGTTATTGCCAGAAAAAGGTTTCCCTGTTCGCCTCATTCAAGAGGATGGGTCCACTCTTCCACCCGAAGTCTTGAAACTGGGTTTCAAGGGTATGAATAGTAAGCGATCACTATGGCTTAACGATGCACAAAACGGACTGTTCCGATTCAAGAAGATCTCTGCGGATGATGGCGATGATAGTCAACTCAACCAAGCCAATGAAGACGAACCAGGCACACCCGCAGGGGATGCATATTTAGAAGAAGAGGAGTGGAAAGGTTTGGACGATGAGTGGAACGGATTTTCCAACGCTGAAAGTGATGAGACGTGATATTGAAACTCTTATTTGTAATTTCTCGATTTTCAATAGTTCTGTCATTTTAGTGGGATGGGCTTGACAGTAAAGTACACGTTCAAAAAGTTGAAAGTTTTTCTCATGTTATTTTTGTCTTGATTTTTGTTGCTCTTTTTGTTGCTCTTGTTGCTGAGTACAAAGTTGCTTGACCGAGTACCACTTTTGTTTGTGTATCAGGTCAATAAGCTTCTGTTACATTTCAGCGTTAATTACTTTTCATCATTGATGCTTCAAGAACTTTGCAATATTAGTTTCACATGTTCCGTATTTGTTCTCTCGTGATTGATTGGTCTAAGGATGAATCACATTTATCATACCTTTCATTGCTATACAGTAATTTGCCATTGATATCATACAATTGGAGCAGTTGTTCTTTCAGAGAACTTAATGAATCAAGTATCGTGAACTCAATTAAACGAAATTTCTCAGCCGCATCTCATCTTGGCCAATGTCAACTTCAACCCTTCTGACAGCTGCTTCATCTTGAATTCAACAATACGGAGTTACCATTATCTCAGTACTGCTTGTACCAATTAACATGAACTGAAACCGACATGAGTTACGTGAACATCATGTAAGTACGATTCACTAGAGTGAATCAAAGTGAGCCTTCTCGCTCAAATTAATCAATTGAGTTTTTCAATTATGTCAGGCTTGGTTCTGGCTACTCAAATTGTCAGCCATTGATAAAGTCCCTTCGAATCATTTTTCAAACATTTTCTCAATCAATTCAAACTCTCAATGTACAGTAAGGAAATGACTCTTGATTTCATAATTGCTCTCATGATATGATTTGTATAGTCACACACTGACTCAACCACTGAATCAACACTTCAATCATATGCATCCTCTCTTAATTCAAATTACGAATAAGTTTGTGTTTAGTCTCATGTACTTATGTAGTGCTACTCTGTACTAGTTGTGCTTTCAAACTCGACCACCCTCAATTGGAAATACATTTTCATTTGTTCAAAATATTAGAAGAATCGATTGACTACACAATCCTTCAATCCTTGTCTGATTTAATGATAATGGTATTGAATGAATCAATCGTTTTTCATTTGTTTCATGTTAATTCGATGAATTGATCTTGACTGCAGAGTAATTCAAAAATTTATTGAGCTGGGGTTGATCTTCGTTAATTCGATGTCTCCTCTTGCTTGACCTTCGAGAATTATACAAAAGTAATGTTGCAGTTGATGGCTGACTCCTCCGACAACAAAAGATACAAGTTAGCCTATGTAAAACAACTAAATGAAGACGACTAAATGAAGACTCACCATAATGAAATGTCCAATGAGCAAATGTGTTCATGGAACCGTTGAGTAAGTGTTGATGATCTGACCCGGCAAGACCGTTTGATGAGGGGTCTGTAAAGTCTGTTGAGTTAGTTTTAGTTATCAGATAGGGGTTCCGAAGTGTGAGGTAAGTGAAATTGTCAAAGTTTGATGTGTTGTGATCAGTCGAGGGTCCAGCATGTGAGGTTGGTGGAATTGGGTGAAGATGTGTGTGTGCGAGGTGGAAGGTAGGATACGCAATCAAGCTTGAGGTTGTTGTAGTGTAGCAAATTTGAAGGGTGGGGTAGTCGGTGTGTAGATTGATCTGGGCCGTGGCTGGTCTGCTGAGCAGTGCGGCTGAGCAGTAGAGACTTGTCTATGGACACTTCTGGGGCTGTAGACGCATCCGAATAGGTCTTTGCAAGGAGATGTGTGAGAAAAGAGAGTCTTGAGACACGTCCTGCTTGTCCTTGAGTCTATAAGGGAAGAGACGGGCTTTACCCGCCAGGAATTACACGTTTTCCCTCGGGTATTACCCTAAGGGTCAGGTAGCCACAGGTGATCAAAGTGATCAAAGTGAAAATGGCTCAGTTTTTTACTTCACTCAGATGGTTCCTCAAAGGTTAGAGGCGTGTCATATACATAAAAAAGAGGAAATCCTTTAGTCAAAAACGGAGAATAAGGATAAGTAAATAGGCGAGATGAAATGAATAACATGAGACTCGGAGCCCCAACAAGGAGCCCCTTTTTGTAAAAAGGGGCACCTGAATTGTTTGTAGCCTGGTGTCCGACCCAAGAGGGGGCACCGGATACTGTTCCGAGGGCTCTAAATAGTGGAATCCACAATCAAAATGAATTCTTTGGTGATATAAAGTGATTGACGGTTATACTTAAAAACAAGTAGCTTTCAACAAAAGCCAGCAAATGTTCATTGTGATCAATTGAAAACACATTTGAACCAAGGGTATTGATGCCAGATGCCAGACGTTAACCTCAATACATACATACAAACTCAAATCACTCGATGTTTACAATAAATCAGAAGCACAATGGGTGTCTTGTCAGTTTGACAAAGATTCTTTCTTTTGATTGAGGGCATGTCTTTTGGCCAAAAGAAGGTGTTTTTTCAAAGGCTTTTGTCGCTTTGATGATACAATATTTGCTGAGATTTGACATATAAGGAGAAGAGGGGAGTGTATGAGTTTTTAATGCCTGATATAAGAGGCTTGAGCCTTTGATTGAGGCCAAGACATCCTTAGCGAGATGCAAGGATAAAGGATATTTGCTTTCTTTTGACAACTACAAAAGATACTACCATTGGAGAGTATGAATGTATTCTTTCTTTGTTTGATAGCTAACATACATGCCCATGATGCTTTGGAACTCTGAAACCCGGCTATAAATTACCCAAGACTATACAGTGGAAGCTTGTATCCACCCCATATCCAGTGGAGATATCGTATCCAATTTCCGGCAATCCTCCGGTGCTCTCGTACAAGGGGCGGTGCAGCCGCCCAAGACCTTGTGATAAATGAAAGTTAAATAATTTCATCACTGTTATACATAAGTCAGAATATATCACGAAATGAAAACTTCTTTAAAGGCTCATGAAAGAGTATTATTGGAATATATCACAATCTCATCAGAATATATCACGAATAGGTAATGTCGGAATAGATCACAATTTCCTACAATCACGATCTTATTGTAATCATAACGATTGATCAGGTGAAGAACTGGTATCGGAATAAATCACAATACTAAATTTGTTTATATATCGGAATAAATCATGAAGTTGAATTGAAGATTTAAAGGGGTCGTCTAGTTTGAAGTGAGATTCTTGATGTTAATTGTTACTTCACACCAAAGGCACGACATGGGGAGATGCTTCCATGGTATGTAAGAGGGGAAGTCGAGACTAGTTGCACATGTAGTTTACATACGCGACAATAGTCGCGGGAGAGTTGGATACAGGAAGAATAAGAAAAACAAAAATTTTCAATTATTCTTCTTCCCACTCAGGATGAGCCCTGATACCCGGGGATCTCGGGTCCCCGCGGGCGCTCCCGGCAGGCTCAGGGTTCGAGCCAGCCTTTTCTGGATGGATATACCCCGGGGGATATTTGTTCCGGGGGGTTGTTATGGCAGGCAAACAAACAATTCTCCTTGGGGAACCCGGGGGAATTGTCCTAAAAGCAGAGACGATATGATTGAGATAGCAATAGAAACAACAACAAAGACAGGTGTACACAAAGGCTAATCAACAATGATAGGGAGGACCTTTGAAGCGAGATTTTTGACAGTACGGTACAAGTGTCCGAAGACACGATACCAATCTTTGAGACAAACAAGGACCTTGACTGTACAACAGGCAAGGCAACTTCTTTGAGGTGATAAGACCCTCTTTGCCTTACTGAACACACTTTCAGACGGAGCGCTGGTGGCCGGGATTTCAAGGTAGCAGTGAGCCATGCGAGATAAGGTTGGAAAGGCTGAACATCTGATTTTCCAGTGATCAAGAGCTTCAGTATTGAAGTCTTTGGTAATCTCTCCGAGGTAACGGTGTAGCTCGCTGGTGAATGAGCCTTGAGCTGCACGATTACCGTAAATCTCCTCATCTAACCAAGATCGTTTTCTTGGTTGATTGAGGGTGTTGAGAGTGTTTTTGCCCTCGGATTGAAATTTCCGACTCTCACGTATGAAAGTCTCCTTCAACATTGAGGGTGTAATGTTGTATTCAGCCAGAAATTGGGCTGTAGCCTCTTTCTGTATATCAAAAATTGAAAGTGGAAACAAGTCAGCGAGGTAATGAGTTTGAGAGAAACTTTTAAACGGGTTTGTTCCACTGACTTCAAAGTAGTTCATCTTGATACGGGGATCAAGAATAGTTGCACAGATGGCTTCTGGCTTTTTGATTATCAAACTGAAGTACTTGTCCAGCTTCTTTATCATGTCGGAGGCAGCAGGAAGAAGCTGATTGTGGTCATACATTCTTTCAACCTATTCAATCAAATCAAACATTAAGTTCAAAGAGATTATGTTAAACAAATGAAACTTACACGCTTCAGACCCTTCATGACACTGATGTACATTGGAATCATCTTGTGCATGGTTGGGAATCTGGACTGGCACATTTGGTTTGTGGCTTCCCAAAGAGGCTCGAGGAAGTTACACATTTGCTCGAGCTGGTCCCATTCGATTTGGGACAGAGCAAACTTTTTGCAATCAGGCCACTTGCTAAATTCCACCACAGCGCTTCGGAGCCGTAATACACACAGAAACATCAGGTATGTTGAATTCCATCCGGTCTTGACATCGATTATCAAGGCAACCGCTGTCTTTTTTGATTTTTCTGTCTGAGTTGGTGGTTCTTGGTCTTCAGGTTTGTTGACAATCTCCTGAATTGTTGAATCTTGCATTTCCGCATTGGCCTTGGACTCGAAGACATGTTCTTTTTGTGCACCAAGTGATCACATTGCAGTCACAATGTTTTCAAAAGCCTCCGCGCGTTGAGGGCTAGATTGGACATGCACAACTAATCCATGTATGTGGCGTGTTATAGAGGATAGATTGATGGCCAAACCATCAGGAGGTTGTACAAGATTGGATATATCCATTGCATTGATGGATAACTCTTGCTCTTCAGGTTCATCAATAACTCCAAAGAGTGATAAACCATCACGTGCAGCAAGATCCAGCACGTGGGCTATACACCCAAATAGTTGAGTTTCCGGATTGAAGTCAATATTGGGATGTTCTGCAATCGCTCGAGCCATCGTGGAGTTGGTGGATGCATTATCGGCGGTGATGCTCGATAATGATTTAGTGATCCCATACTTTTGCAGGTAATCCACCAGGATCGAGCCAAACTTGGCTCCAGTATGTTGACCTGATATCAAAGCTTCAGGTGAGAATCTCCAAATATAAAAATAAAATGAAATAAACTTGATCGTACCTGTAATTTGTGGAAGTCCGATGATAAAATCTTTCTTCACAAAGTCTTCAGTGATTGTATGTACAGTAATGGCCATGAACGCTTTGTTGTTTGGTGAAGTCCATGCATCGGTGGTGATGGAAACGAAATCACTCTTTTTTAACTCCACTTCTGTAATGTATTCTTGTGTTTGCTCAAAAATCTTGTGCGCTTGAGACACAATTGCATGCCGTTTCACTTGCATTCCTTTGGCACTTGGATTACACAATTTCAAGATCTTCAGGAAGGAAGGACGCTCCACAATGGAAAAGGGAAGGTCCACATTGGCAATAAAATAGGCCACATGAGTCTTCAAACTCTTGATATTGAGTTTATCCTGGAGCATATAGAAAAAAGGTATAATGTATATGAGTATTTGCTCTTATAGATTGGTGATACAGTTGAAAACATACATTAACTTCAAGTGTTCCGGTGTGGAAAGCAAAATAGCCTCCTCACCCTTCCCTTTTTTATACACATCATTATCCTCACCAGGTCATTTGTTTTTGGGGCTCGTGTTTGGTCTGCTCACAATTATCTCATCTCAAGATCTTTTCAATTCATTGCAATTCAAGATAGCTTATTTTTTATTGCAAAACAACTATAAAACACTAAAAGAATACAAGACCAAGAGAATTAAATAAAATAAAGTATATGAAACAAGATAAGGAAAAAAAGAAACAAGTCAAAAGAAGAAAATCAAAAAATGGAAGGAGAAAGATTAGTTAGTGACTGTACAAGAGAACACGGGCGGAGAAGGATGAAGAGAAATTTACCTAAGAAAGATACAAAACTGAAAGAAGGCTTATGGATCGATCTATGAGGTGCTAGAAAGTCAAGAGAATAAGATTGAATTAATAAAGTCGAATCAATACATTTAAGAAGAATAAGAAACAGCTTACACAGGAAACAAGAGACAATTTTCCCGCGGGAAGACCAATTACACATAATGTAGTTTCTGAGCCATAATGTACAAATAACACAGATATAACACCAAAATAATACATTTTGGCTCATTAACTGAGTCAGATACAATTGGTTTTCCCGCGGGAAAATTGTCCCTTGTTTCCTGTGTTACCATTGAGAATGATATCGGTTGGAGCAAAAATCAAATGAAATAGAGATCGAGCTACCAAAATCAAACAAGGACTAGAAAAAAAAAAGAAACATAGACAAATAAATTAGTTAGTATGAGAAGAGAAAAAGAAAGAGTAAAGAACACACCTTTTAGTCCAGGAACAAGTAGTGTGAGAAGAAGGAAATAGACTAAAATCGAAATGAAAGAAAAGGAAGTAGAAAGAAATAAGACATACCTGAGAAGAAAGAGAATCGAATGAAAGGAATTGAAATAATCGATCGAAGTCGAAATGAAAGAGAAGGATGAAAGAAGAAGGATTCAGTTAGAAAGAAAAATAATAGAATAAGAAAAGTAAAAGAAAAGAAACATACCTTGAGAAAAAGAAAAGGAAAGAATCGAGTCGAGTTGAAGTTTTTAGTGTGGGAGGAGCCAAGAGAATCAGTCGGAAGAGCTCGGAGCGATATAGAAGAAGTCGGTCGGAGTTTTTTGAAGTTGTAGGGTATATAAAGGAGAGCTTGATGAGAGAAAAAGGGGGGGGCATCGTATTGTGCGTAGTATCTTGTGTAGTGTTCGTGTTTGAATGTTATTGTGTGCATCTAAAGTGTGATCGTGTACTTGAAAAGTGTAGTGAGAGCTTAAGAGTTTCATTGAGTTCGTGTTATAAGGTGTTATCAAGCGATCTAGATAGAAAAGTTACAAGAAAGAGAAGCAAGTTTTGTTAGTTAACTGGTCCTCAGAACAAGTAGTGATAGTTTGAAAGCAAGCCTTACCTTGATTGCGAGACTCTTGTATTTGATTATTGTTGTTTTCGTTTTTCGTTTTGTTATCGGATTCTGAGTTGTTTGTGCTGAGCTAAGTCAAAAACTAGTCGTGGAATTGTCGAATTCCAGACTATCTCGAGATCAACAAACCCGCCTCTTGATCCAAGTCGAGGTCGGGTCGAACGGGTTCCGGGCTACATAGACCGGACCTGTGTGTAATTTATTACACTTCGCCATAAAATCATTAAAACACGAAATTCACTTAACTTTGTGTCACAACATCGTGTAGAGTTGTGTGGGGTATCTGTGGAATCCGGCAAACCTTGCGGATCTGGTTATAAACTTTAAAAAGTGATACCGGAGAAATTTGTAGGGATAGAAATTGTTAAGGATTGCTCTAGTTCTTTTTGAACTGCAACAATTTTAAGGTTGAAGGCAGCGTAACTGCACTGTAGTTTCATCCGCTCTCACAAGTGGTGATTCTTACCTTCTCCGGCTCAGCCTACGCTACACTGCGTAGGAGTTCTACACCGGTTTTCATTAGTATGTCGATGTTAGCGTGTTGTCCCTTCTTAGCTGGATCAGTTATGCCGTGTTGGGTTCTAAGGTGAACAATCATTGACTTTGTACTCAAAGACTTGTCCTTTGCAAGTAGGGAGTTGCATATCTCCCCGTTTTTTTTGACAACCATACATCTATTGGTGCCGTCATCTGACTTCTCAAAGTGATCCCAGACAAAACTTGATGTCGCTGTTGCGGAAGTCTTAGGTACAGAGCTAGTACTAGTAGTAGGAGTGCTTGACATATTCAATATGAATGTGTTGTTAGGATTTCTTGTTAGATAAATGATTGGGTTGTTGGTTGGAAAACAAAAGGAAATGTTTAAATCAAAATCTCTTGAATTGAGTCTCAATTCTCAAGTCTTTTAATGACTAATCATATTTCTCACATGAGCTCAATGGGTCTAGTCCCTTGCTTTGAGGTTTCGAGCGCAAGGGACTAGACTCCTCCTGGCCATATCTTGTCCCAGAGAGTTCCTTGACCTCTTTCGATCACGACTTTTTTCTCTCAAGCCTTGGATTGCCTTGGATTGCCTTGGATTGCCGGGTTTGCCCGGAAATCCCCCGGCGCCCGGCGACCCCGTCGAGGCTCTCGGTCCGGGAGGCGTTCTCTGTCTGTAGCTGGAAAATTAATCGGGTTTGCCGGGTTTGGGTGCCGTTCTGACGCTTAAAAAAATTTATATCTCGTCGGCGCCTCGAAACCCGGCACTCAGGGGACGGGTCTCAACCTGACTTCCCACTCCCTAAACTCCAACCTAGTCTCTCAGGAAGTCAAGCTTCCATAGTTTAGTAAAAGCTTAATCTTCAAAGCTTATCCTTCTCCCTCTGTCCTTTTCTTTTTTTTTGGAAAATTTTAAGTTTACACACAGAACCAACGGAACCCAATCTGAAGAAACACAATCTTAATCAAATACAAACACCTGCGACAAGTTTTAATTTACAACCTCGAGACAACCCTGAATAGTTTTATCACCGAAAAGAATCCAACAAGATGGACAGCGAAGAATTTCAGACGAAGATTGATGAGCAGATTAGAAATGAAGAGGAAGAGACTAAAGGAGCAGAAGGTTCAGGAGAGAAAGGAAAAGGAGTAGAAGGTGGTGAAGGTGGAGAAACAAATGAGGGTTTGGAAGAAGATAGTCAAGAGGTAAACCAAGAAACGCAAACGCAAGACACGCAGAAGAGCGGGAGAACGGCTAAAACAAGAACTCCATGGGTCCGACAATAAAAAAGGAAGAATGGCCAACCACCTGAAGTGGAAGAACAAGTGGTAGGACCTATCAGGATCAAGAGACCAAAAGGGAAGACAAATACCAACCAGCAAGAAACTCCGATTATCCCCCCCCAGCTACCACCAAATCCCCCCACAACGTCGAAAACATTGTTGAAACAACAAATTCCACCGATCCAACACGACCAACCGAACAAAGTGGGAAGTGAGGAAGAGTCGGAATCAGAGAAGGAAGGAGGTAATCTAGAGGTAGCAGGAATATATCTTGATGATTTCAATCATGGTAAGTTACAATTCCCAAAAAAAAAAATCATATATTCTCCCGTATTGGGAATGCCTCTATAGAGATGAAAAATACTCCTCAGGGAGAACGGAAAGATCCAAAAGGGAAATATCCTGCAAGGAACAGATCCAATGAAATAGACACAAAACATGTACAAAGAAAAAGGAAAGAGAATGATAAGAAAGGAAACTGACTTATGATTGGGATTAACCGGAAACAGGAGCAGAGAAGGATGGGTGTGCAGACCCTATTCCAGCCCAGCCAGAAGACTCAGTAAGCCAAAATCTGGATGCGCAAACCAAACTTGCATTTGAACAGAAAAACCGAGTGCTGTATGACAAATTGTTGAATGATAAGAGGAACTGGCTCGAATTCTTAGCAAAAGGGAAAGCCGGGAACAAAATCAAAGCTGTAGAGAAAGGCGGCAAAGACATCAGTACGAGAAAGAAAGTGAAAGTCGTGAAAGGCAAGGAACTATTGAATGATTTAGTGGCTTTATTGCCTTACTGGGAAGCTGCTATGAAAGACTTGTCTCGTTACATTCCTCTCTCTATCTTTGATCCTTTGTGGCTCCGCCAAGACCTCAATATCACATCCAACAAGTCGTCGAGCACCAAATCGAAAGATGTGGACTCTATATCTTACAACAGATCACCTATACCGAGTGAATGGCAAACAACCGTTGCCCAATGGCATAGGCAAAAAGATCTAGTTTTAGCCTATTTAGAGTTCTACAAGCATGATGAAGTGGTACCGACAATGAGGAAACATTTCAAAAATGTACTGCAAGTTCAGAGTGAAAATTATGGGTGTTGGATTGTTGCATTCAGATATGATATCGAGATGCGCCAGGCTTACCTTACGTTCAGAGTCGGAGAAGATGAGGATATGGCTGACATAGGAATCAGGAACAAAGCCATCAAAAGAAGAGCAGAGCGTAGAACAATGATGAGAAACAATGAACTATTCCTTGATAACCCCTACGCTTACGGACAAGTGAAGATGAACATTGATCCCATCAATGGCGTGAATTGGGAAGGAAGGACGTTGGCCTGGGATGACCCTAGCAGAGGCAAATCTAAAGAAGTGAGGAATGAGGTCACTAAGAATACTCAGTCAGTCCACTCAGCCCTGTGGGCACAGGCAAGGAGCAAGCCTCATACTGCTCCTCAAAATCACCCGTACGACTATGGAAGAACGCCGGCTACGTACCAGACACTGCCCAACCATCAAATCCAAGCAACTCTGACAGTTTTTGCAAGTACCTCAGCTTTCCCGAACTATGCCCAGCCCCCATCGCAGCCAGCAAGCCAATGGTTAGGCATCAATCCAAACTACCAAGGCGGTCCTAAGAACTACATTCCCAACAATCAACCGAACTTCAGAGGAGGGAAAGGAAATTACGGCAATGGGAATGAGAGTGGATCAAATGGAAATGGAGGAGGGAACGGTATTGGGGGTGAGGTAGAAATGAAGAGCAAGGAAACCAACAAGGCCATGGGAATAGAGGAGGTGCAGGAAGAGGTTCAAACCAAAAGAAGTAAGTGTCCGTGTTAGTACAGAAAGAAAGGGAAAAGAAATTTTCTCTCTACCTTGTGACCAATCTGGTTGAGGAAGCATCGAATTTGATGAAATATGATGAATGAACATGTACCCACATAAAGAAAAAAAGAGAAAAAAAACAGAGTGTGAGATCACTCAGGAGAGAGAGAGAGAGTCCAAATACTGACTTGAATGATCCTTGCCCCCTTTCGAATGTGTTCCACCTACGTCTTTCCCTGGCCTATGTAGCCCAAACTAGATTGAGTTGAACCCGGCAGAGTTGATACCAGGGGTAGATTTCCAAATACCGAAAATCACGGTCAAGAAAGATGCCCGATTCCCTTCTGAAGTCAAGTGCAAACTCAACGTGCCCGAATGGGAGGAGCTCATGAGAGAATTTGATCTGATGAATGAGTGGGGTGACGTCTTACAAAGCTTTTGTGAAGGCTTTGATCAGGGCATACCGGAACACACCATAAAGGATATGCCTTGGTACACACCACCAAATCAAGAATCAGAAAGTTCGAGATAAGATAGAAAAGATGATTAGTAAGGAAAAGAAAGAAGGGAAACTCTACGGCCTTTTTACTCACCAAGAAGTGTATGATCATTTCGGGTTCTCTCGGTTGAATCCGATGGGAAGCATGATTAATAATGACGGCTCGTTTCGCATGATTAGCAACCTGTCGTTCCCCAAACACAATGAGAACATACCTTCAGTCAAGTCAATTCATTTGTTGACAAAGAAGAGTTTGAGACCATGTGGGACAATTTTGTGGCGGTAGCGGTATTCCTAAAGAACAGTAATAACAAATGGGAATTGGCAATTTTTGACTGGGAGAAGGCGTATTGGCAAATACTGACACACCCTTCCCAATGGAAGTACTTACTTATTCTGGATTTCCATAATAGGCTATGGGTGGACACTAGGGTCGGCTTCAGAGGTGTGGCAGGCTGTGGTACATTTGGCAGAGCCGCAGATGTCTGGAAAGAAATAATGACGTTAGCTTTAAATATCCCCAAAATCTTCAGATGGGTCGATGATAACCTCATCATACGAAAGAAAGGGGAGAAGGTACTAATGGAGGATGTCCTTACTCTAAGTGCTGGGATGGGAGTGAAAACGAACCTTACGAAATGCTCGAATTTCACAGATGAACAGAGATATTTAGGTTTCATCTGGAATGGGAAGAGCAAAACAGTCAGACTCTCAGTCAAAAAGATAGAGCAAAGAATACCAAATATCCAGGAACTGTTAGGAGGAGCAAAATGGAAGAAGAAGGAAGTAGATAAATTCGTAGGGAGGTTAGGACACACAACATATTACCAGACATGAGGTGTTACATGAAGGAGTTGTATGGATGGAAGGAAGCATGGAGGAATCCTGAAGCCAGAAGAGGGATAACGGAAGCAGTTCGAGAAGACCTCGAAGAATGGTTAGACATTCTAAAGACCTTTGATCATATGAGAATAATCCCAGATACAGAAGTTGAGGAAATCGGCTGGGTCGGTGATGCCTCAACGTTGTATGGAATAGGGGTCCTGATAGGAAACAATTGGGCAAGGTTCAAGCTGAAACCGGGTTGGAACAAAGACGGACCAGACTTGGTGAAGCAAAACATTGCTTGGATTGAGACCGTTGCGGTGAGGTTAGGATTGTTGATGAACCTGAAACTACAAAACGTTAGAGGCAAAGGTTTCAGGGTTTGCACTGATAACACCACGACCAAGGTGGCAATGCGAAACGCTAGGTCGAAAGACAGGGCGGTGAACAATGAATGGAAACAGATCCAAAAGCTGCTAACGACTCACCAATGCACGATCAAACAGAAGCGGGTTACGTCCGGTGAGAACAAAGCTGACGACCTGTTGAGAGGAATCATAGATAAGAAACTCAACTGGCACGAAGAGGTGAAAATCAAAATCCCACACGACCTACTCACGTTTATCCAGCAAGAATGAAAGGCGAGGAGTTATCTAAGCAGAAGAAAACGGTGGAGGTAGAGAAGGCGATCAATTTTGTCAGTGATAAGAACGGGACAGTGAATTTAGATAACAACCCGGTGCAGAGATTAATGTTGATGAGAGGAAGCTGGACAGCAGAAACATTGCTGCAGTATAATTCGGCTGTAACAAAGTACATGGAGTACGGAAAGAGTAGTGGACTATTGAAATACCAAATTCTACCGGCAAGCTCAAACCATATCAGATTGTTTATCCAGTGGGCAGGAATAAAGGTGGAAAGAGAAGATAAGACAAACAAAGAAATTAAACCGTCTACCATTGAAGCTTACCTTTCAGGATTAAGGGCGTGGCATTTTATCCATCACTTGAAATTTCCGAAGATTGATCAGAAAGAAATAAATTTATGCATGAAAGCACTCAAACTGTTAGACTCACAACAACTTCAAAAACCGCCGAAGAATCCAGTTGAGATTAAACATCTAGTTAGCTTATTGCGGCACATGAAGAGAGGTGACAAAAAAGGCGAGTTGGCGGTCACGGTAGCCTTGGTGGCGTTTTGGGGTATGGAAAGGTTGGGCGAGTTGGTGCCAATGAGGTTGACAAAGTTGATAAGGTTGAAGGATGTGAGCTTGTCACAAGAGAAGGAAATCATGAGGCTTGGGTTGAGAGAAGCGAAGACTTCCAAACCAGGAGAAGTGCAATTCCTCTATCTTCAAAGACACAAGTCACTTCTCGATCCAGTAGCCGCGGTAGAGAGATTACTGCAAAAACAACTAGACGACGGTTGTACGACAGAGGATATATTATCACAGGGGCAAAAATTGATGCTCACAACTATGTGAGCGTTGAAATTTTCCTGTTTTGTTCCCATTTGTTTCCCATTTGTTTCCCATTTGTTTCCCTTTTCTTTCTGTTTGTCAGCTGATTACGTGATCATCAGGAACTGAGCAGACAAACTAAGCCTTCCTCAGCATTTATTCCTGAGCAAAGAAGTCTGAGGAAGGGCTGATCCATCTGCTCAGCTGATCCTGAGCGGCATTCCCTGGTTCAGTAAGCTCCAAGGGATGCCACCAATGTATAGCTTAGGGGCTGAGCTGAACTGAGTATTCCCTTAGCTAAGTCTCTGAAGTATCCCCCAGATGGATCACAGAGCGCCAAGCTTGCCTCAAGCTTCATGGCTCCGGAATGAAGCCTGAGGCCCGTCTGCTCGTTCAACTGAGCTGCTCAGTTATTCCTCAGGGGCATCCCTGAGATCAGGAGGATCCGGAGGATTTCACTGCTCATTGGATGAGGGGCTGCTCAGTTATTCCTCAGGGGCATCCCTGAGATCAGGAGGATCCGGAAGATTTCACTGCTCATTGGATGAGGGGCTGCTCAGTTATTCCTCAGAGGCATCCCTGAGATCAGGAGGATCCGGAGGATTTCACTGCTCATTGGATGAGGGCCTGCTCAGCTAGTCCTCAGGGGCATTCCTGGCCGGATCAGAAGGATCCAGAGGATGTCACTGAGTATTGGCTGAGGGGCTGCTCAGTTGATCTCAGCCCCTCAGTGTGAAAAACTTTATCCGGGGATATTGCTGAGGATTAGCTGAGCAATGAGCAGATGGGATGACACTTTTATCAGGCTTCATTCCTTAGCAAGGAAGTCTGAGAAAAGTCCGGCCCATCAGTGATCCAGTCAGGGGATGCTACTGAGTATTTGCTGAGCAGCTCAATTGGGACGCCCCTGGGCAGGCTTCTTCACTGAAAAATGAAGCCTCAGGAAGGTATAGTTCATGTGCCCATCTTCATTTTGAACAAATTGCTGAGTATTCAGTGCCTCATGAGCTGATCCTGAGTACTCATCGGGAATCAGTTATTGCTCATCCAAGATTGAAATGAGCCTTCTCAATAAATGTCAAGTAAAATATGAGAACCACAGGATAATCACCTGAACACAAACAAGATTGTGAATTGAATCAATCTGAAAGAAAATGAATCTTTTTTGGAGAATTCCAAAAAGTCTACAACGCTCACATGTATGTGAGTATCTATTTTGGCCCCTGTGTATTCAGCTTTACTGATAATGAAGGGCAAGCAGGTACTTTGTTGACAAAAGGAGGAGTCATGGGGATTCTTAGGGAGTCGTGGGCTAAAGACGGGTATGGCGGACTCACCGGGCATTCCTTCCGGGTGGGAGGAGCGTTGTTCTTATGGAACGAGAAGGTCCCACTCAAGACAATAACAAACGAGGGGAGGTGGAAGTCCAAGGATTACCGATTGTATCTAAGAGAATTCGACCATGAAGAGATTGAAGAGAATAGACGGTGGTTACGTAAAGTAGAATTGAAATGAAACAATACAAATGGTATAGAGTGGAAAAGTGAGATTTGCCAGTTGATCCCCCTAGAATAACCGTTGATACTCAGCGGAGATGAGAGGGAGTGACTGGAAGAGACACACCCACCTGAATTAGAGTTCGAGGGGGTGCATGAGTGTTACTGAACAACTGAACCCATCCCCTGTACATCTCAAGCCACGTTGGGGTACAGGGGGAAAAGGGGGAAAGATCTGTAGCCAAGACATGCCGGCAAACAAACGCCACAACATGGGCTACCGGAGAGAATGGGTCCTAGCGAGCTCGGGGGCTCTCCAATACCCCAAGGTCGGGTAGGCTAGGACCGAGTCCTCCGGAGCTTCTCAGGCACTTTACGCAGCTCAGAGCCCGAGGTAAACCGGGTTGTCAATATCAACAGGGGCCTATAAATAGTACCCTGTAGATGCCCCGGGGCACCTCTGGGCTCAGGGCACCCCCCCCACAGTACTCTCACCTTAGTGTCCTAGGTAGGGTAGCATAAGGCTGAGAACCCAGAGTAAAAGGAATGTATAATTATACGTATATTAGAAGTCAGAATGGTACATATAAATATACAACCCAGAGAGCTTGAATCCTAACACTTGCCCTCGTAATAAAGATGGAAAGTACATTGATCTTACTTTGTTGTGGTTTTTCTAATTCTATGATTGATGACAAATCATCTGAGTCTTTTTCATCACTAAAAACTATGTCTTCATCAAAAATCATGTTCACATCTTCCTCTACAACTTCGTTCTGACTTTGATGTTGATCAATCTGTTTCTTTTTACCTTTCTTTCTGTCT